AGAGCTCTAACGTGGGACCAGAGCAATCATGGAACTCTTATTTTTACAGAATAAGGGCTTGCAGGTTTACAGCTGATATTGCTACGAGACTGAAGGGTATAGGCATGTTAGAACTATGCCACCAACTGCATCATTTCAGCAAGCTGGCTGAATTTATACATTTTTCAGGAAGAAAACATTACTTAGCAGATTTTCTAGCTAGCTTCGAATTTAGACATAGATACATGCAAACTAGTGAGATGGAGAATCAATGAAATCTGTAAGTAGACCATACCATACTTTAGGAATAGAGAAATAAACTGGGCTTGCTTGCAAATCCATAACATCCTCATGAAACCAGAAACTAGCTCCAAATGTGATGTTTGTCAGCTAAAGGCAAAATTGTATTTTGTACCAGCTATTTTGACTGGTGTTCAGAAAAAGAATTTGAGCTTTCTAGAAAGGCAGAACAATTTTTTGATCCTACTGCCTCACCAGCCAAAATTCATCAGCACAGAAATATTGAACAACACAGGCTTTCTCAGTTGCCTGTTTTTCATGGCAAGATAATGACTGTCTCATGGTATTTCATGATAGTGCAGAGAATTAAGAATTTCTGTTGTGCAGGGAAACTAGGAAAAATAAATCTGAGGTGACTGTGCCAATCTTCTGCTCAACAAAATAGCAGGGACACAAGCAAACCCCTTGGCCTCCTTCAGGGATGAAAGGGCTGTGGGTGCCAGCTGGAAGGTGGGGGCAGCAGTAGGATGCAAGCCGTCCCCCGGCGCTGCTCAGGCAGCCCAGGATTGCACCACTCTTCTCTGCATTACAGCAGCAAGACTGTGTGCTTATTCACACAGAAAGAAAAACACAGCTGCAGCTTGGTCTCTGCCAGGTGCTTACTTGCCTGTATTCCCTGTACAACCAGAAAGCCACCAGTAATTCAAGGCAGAGCCAAACACTCCTGCATAAAGTCATGCAGACTAGAAGGGTAGATGCAGAGGACGAAACAGAATGGTTTTTTGCCTTGTTTTTATATTTTGCTGTCAGATATGCTTTGGAATTAACATGCATTTGTAACAAATCATTGGCAATACTCCAATGCCATCAATTCTAGGGGCTACTTCTGGGCTTTTTGGACATAATCTGTTTTTTCACTGCTTAAAGCAGCAGTTCTATCATGGTCACTATAGAGTTTTGTAAACGTAAACAGAAATTATATATAAAGACTGGTCCTGCCTATATTTAAATTAAAAGAGGTAATGGTGAGGTTCATCACCCCAATTCATCAGACTGAAACTTAGGTGTCTGGTCTGACCTAGTCATCCGTGCTTCCTCTACAGTCACTGGAGAGCAGAAGACAATCTCTCCCTTACTAAAATAACTGCCTTAGATGAGAACTGCCCTCTTAAAGTGCCACTTTCTCTCTATGGACTGTAGCAATCCAGAAAATTGCTCTAAATTTTAGGCTTAATTTTTTGGCTGCATTTAGTTACATTTAATAAGATAAATTAAAATTAAAGCCCTGAAGAAGGTGGCTCTGATTTCGAAAACCCAAGAACTGCTCACTGGAGGTAGCACAGGAGATAGGCCCCTGTTACGAAGGTCTTGAACAGATCATTAGGTGGGATCTAATGCCTGCTTGGACATCTCCTGAGCCCTGGGATTGCCATAAGGGCGAGTCCAGAGGAGAACATGCCCTCTGGCACCATGCTAGATCCCCGTGCCTGGACCTTGCAGAAGACTTCTGTGAAGGCACAACCAGCGACACCTCTCTGGTCCGCTCCCCACCACAGCCTACCTCAGTAATTCCTGGTATTAGCTCTTCAGCGTCCAAGTTGGAGAAAAAGGTACTGCCTTTCTATAGAAGCATGGCGGGGGGGTGGGGAGGGGGCAAGCTAGGGAAGAAGAGGTGTGTGACGCTTGTTGCACTGGTCTCAGAGCTATAGAGGGGTGACATATATCACTGGTAGTACCACAATGACTGTCAGGACTTTAAAAAAAAAACATTCCCTGGGGAACCGTGGTATGTACCAGCTACCGAAGGCAGAGAGCACGTACCCAGAGCCTGCCCCACGTGAGGGACGGGTGTCCCAGCACCTGGTTAACTGCACACCTTACGCACAGCCTCCCATGGCTTCTGCACGGAGCTTCTGCTGCACAGTCTTTTCTCCTCCCCAAACACAGTGGGTCAAGCCTGATGACACGGCGGTGGTGTTGCACATACAAATACTCTGGAAGCCATCAGCAGGTCGTGGGGGCACACTGGAAACTGAAGGCAGTTAGCAGTCATTCGGGGTAACACTCTTTCCTGCTCCCCGTCTCCCCTTCACATGCCATCACGCATGAAAAGGCACATGATGATAGCTCTCCCTCAGCTGCTTCAGTAAGTGGGAGGGGAGATCCTGCTCCTGAGGCTTCCTCTGGCCATGCACCACCACCCTGAAGGCAAGACATTGCATCTTGAGCAATCAACTGAGCGGTCACTGCGTCGGGGCTTTGTGGGAATGCTGTGGCGGTACAGAACGGCTTGCACCTCTTTGGTTTTAGTGAGGAGCCCCAGGATTTCAGCTGCAGGCTGCATGCCACTTGGGATGAGGGGGAGGGAAAGAGACTGCCATGCTCTGCCACATCTATTGTCATGCCACCATTTCCAGTGGAAGCATGAGCCCACATTTCTGTGGAAGAGGGGAACTAGTAAAAATGAACCATGCATAATTTTTGTCATCCCTCTGCCCAAATAGCAGCAAAGCAAACAAAAGTCTTAGCATCATGCAGCCATGATGCAACGTACGTTGGAAGCTGTGCTTAAAGGTCTCACTGACCACCTCTAGAGGTACCTGAAGCATCATTAGGTTCTCCCTCCTCCATTCAGTGCAAAACCAACAAAGCTACTTTCTGCTCCCACCAGCTAATGTCAGCTCTGCTCCCTGCCCCCCATATCCAAACGCCTTGTGCCTCTAGCTATTCTGCTACTGCAGAAACAGGCTGTAGGGAAGATAGCTTCCTGGGGTTTGAGCTGCATGGATGTAGCCTGCCAGGCCCTGGTGGGCTGAATTCTTCAAAGTTCCACTTGCCCTGATCCTCACAGGCAGATGTCAGAGCAGGGATGCATCTGTCCTACTACTCCCACCACCCTGCAGAAAAAGGTGTCCTCAGGAAGCTGGGGGCTTCGAGGAGGCAGCTGTAAGCTGCAGACTGCCTTTCCTTCTCCCTGCAGGAGAGGCAGGCATGCCTTTCTCTCTTCCATGTGGTCCTCTGATGAAGAAGGGAGGCCCTGGGGAGGCCAGAGGAGAGGAGGAATGCCATCAATGTAGTCACTGGCAGGATCCTCTTGGAAACAGTTCTTGGTCTGGGGGCAGGGGCAGGCATGGGAACAGAAGTTCCTGCTGGCAACCAGTTCCCTTCAGAGTCACCACCAAATGACACTCCCATGTTGACACTTTGAACCAGCTGCAGACGAGGAGGACACCAAGGACCTCCATTCACCACCTCCTGCCCCTATCAACTGCAAAGCACCCAAGGCACCCAAGCCAAGCAGGTGGAAGCAAGTTCCAGACGGGATGCCATGACCAGCTGGGCCTCTCTTTTTCTCATAGCAGCAGTGGGCATGGGGCCACTGCACGTGCCAGGTAACAGGAAAATTATTTTTTAACACACACACACACCCCACACACCTGCATCCCTTATTTCTCCTCCCCTGTTTGGAAGGTCATGGTCACCTTGTTCCCTTACACACTCTCCTCGCTGCTCAGGTCCTTGCAAGCTATGGGCCATGCTGGCCATCAGAAGCGGTGACATTTTGCGGTTGCTTGACTACTTTCGTACAGCCATGTCTGCGGGTGTTTCTCCCATTCTGAATTTTGGCCTTGACCTAAAGCTTCCTGAGGTGCTGATGGCCTGTCATCAGGCTGGAAAGGTATGGTTTGTGTCCAAGTGTTTCGCCTAAAAGCCAATATACAAGGCAAGTGGGAAACTCATCCTAAGTGTTTGTGTGGGGAGGTGAACAGGGTGGCAGCTCTCCTCTCAGAGAGAGGACTGAGGGAGGGGAAGGTTTCTGTCCCGAAGGGCCTCATCTGAGGTTCTGCTGCCCCGGCTCTTATCAACTTTCACTCAGACAGCAGCAGGTTACGCAGCCCTTATCGCTTTTCTCCCTCTCGGGTCCCACCCCACGCTGCTGCCTGCTGCCCCTCTGCAGCCAAACGGCAGGCAGGGCACCCCCCGCCATCGCGGGACAGCCCCGTTCCCCCCAGCAAACTCCCAGCCCGGAGCTGCGGTGCTGGTCCGGGGGCCGGTCACGGAGCGGAGCCACCTGCCAAGAGACGCGAAGGTCCCCGAAGGGCTTGCGGGGCCGTGGACACCCACGGAGAGCCGCCGTGTTTGATCAGCGGGGATGGCGGCGGGAGCGAGCAGCCACAGCAGCCGCGGGACAGGGCAGCGTGGCGGCCGGCGCCACGCCGCGGGGACGGGCAACACGGAGCCGCGCTGGCCGTCCCTGCATTAGTACACGCGTGACATTGCCCCGTGGGAGCAGGCCGCTGCGGGTAGCCTCGCTGCTCCTCGGCACCCATTTACGGCCGGACGAGCACCCGGCTTGCACCCCCGCGGGGCGCAACCGGCGCCCCGAATCCAGGCTGCTTGCCTGCTGGCAGGGGGCAGCCAGGCGAAGCGGGCACAGCCCCGCCCCTGAAGGCACCGCCGTTCCAGCAGGGCCGTGTAGAATATCACGGCGTCGCCATTCCGGGCCCGCACAAAAGGCTTTCTTTAAACTGCGAATTCGCTCGCGCGGATCCCCCTCCGCGCGGACCGAAACGCGCCCGTTCCGCAGGAGGCGATAAAGCCAGGACCGCCCCCCTCCCCCCCCCCCCCGCCCCAAAACGCCCTGCTTCCTCCCACCGGCGGGACACGGCGCGCCGCCGACACGCCACGGCCCCCCACACACACGCCACGGCCGCGCCGCCCCCCCCCCCCCCCCTCCCCCGCCGCCAGGGGGCGAAGCCGCCGGGTGCGCGTCACTTCCGTTGGGCCCGCGGCCCGGCAGCGGGGCGGGGTCCCGGCGCGGCGCGAGCGGCGGCATGGAGAAGCTGCGGCGGGTGCTGACCGGGCAGGACGACGAGGAGCAGGGGCTGACGGCGCAGGTACCGCCCGGCGAGGAGCCGTTCTTCTTCCCCACCCCTCTACCCGCACCGGCGCCCGCTCTACCCCGTCCCGGGGGGCGCAGGGCGCTGAGCCGCCTCCCGGCCCCAGGCCCGCCCCGGGGGCCGCCGTGTTCCCCGCGCTTCCCCCGCCCCGGCCTGCCCGCGCGCGGGCACCCCCCAGCACACACCCCTCCGCCCCCCTCCTCCCGCACCCCCCTCAGCATATCCCACCCCCCACGGTGCGGTGGGCGGGGGAGGAGGGGGGGCCGAAGGAGAGGCCAAAGGGTGCTGCGTGCGCCCAAGGACGAGGTTCGTGGGCAGCCGGCCCCGCCCGGGAGTAAGAGTTTTGGCGAATTCTCGGGATGTGGAGGAGCTCGTTGTTGTGTTGGTGGTTTGGGGTCCTTTGGTTTTATTTTCCACGTCCTGCTTCGGGATAACAGTCTCTCCTTGTCTTGCGTGTATTCCTTCTCCTACGTGGCCTTGGTACTAGATGTAGGTGATGAGTTAAACAGTAGGTTTTCTTTCTAAATTGCCTTTCTGTTTCCTTATGTCCTTGAATTTGAAAAAGCAAAGAATTAGTTTCGCTAGACGGAGATTGTTTTGTGTATATTGTGCTGAAGTTCCTTTTTTTGCCCCATACTGAAGTACAATTTCATTTTTCCATTTCCTCCCCACTGCCTTCCTCGCTGTCAGTTTGTTGGGTCTTTTTACTGGGTTTGAGCATCATATGTTTCCGAGACATAACTTGGAATGTTGAAGCAAAGCTGAGCATACTTGCAAAGAACGATTTTGCTATCACCTCCCTTTTAACTGGTGTCACTGTGGGTCAGAGTGCCCCACATCATGCAGTATCTTGATGCTGTGTTACAGGACTGGAGCACGGTGGAGGAAGCTGGCATGCGGAGCAGCTTGGATCTGAGCTGCGGCTCATAAACCTTGGGGCAGTGGCACAGCCTCAGTCTAGTGTCTATGGCATAATACTTGTCCCGGCAGCTTGCTGATGACATGCTTCACTTTTCTTTGCACTGAGTTGATGCTGGTCTTCAGGGTTTATGAATCTGGCCTCTTTGCCACAGTCAAGCAGATAAATTGTGTCCACACCTGACGGTCAGAGACGTACTTACATTTCTGTTAATCTTAGTTCAATTCCAAGAGAATTAGTCTGCCGACCCCAGGCACGTTTCATATGAGATACATGATAGTGACATAGAGGTTTCCTTTATTTGACATTGTGATGTTTAAGGCAGCAGTCTGTAGATAAATGCCTAAGTATTTAATAATTTTATATTTGAGGTGTATCTCCTGAGGGGAGCGTGTCATTTGTTAAATGTCATTAACTAAACTATATGTGATTTGATTATAGCATGTATTGATGTTCTAGCCAGAGAATACTTTAAATAGGAAGAATCTGCCTGTATTTAAAGCCTACCCAGTACATGATAGAAGAAAATGTATAAATATGCCTTTGGCATAGTGCAAAGGAGCTTCATGCTGAAGAAGATGAACCAGAAAGATCATTAAAGTGAATGAATACCCACTGAATTTAAACTCAGGTGTTTAGGTTAGGCAATGTCTTGATTGTAGGTTTCTCTCAAAAGTAGCAATGTATTTCTATAACACTGGTAATCAAACCTATTTTTGGTGAGGAAATTCATATGTAGCAGACATTCATTAAAGCTATAGCTTTACAGATGAATGGTATTGACTATTTTTAAAGTGTGTGCAATAGAGCAAAAAAGTATGTGTACCCATGCAGAGAGGACACTTTTTAAGAGATAAGGTTGTAAAAGAAAATAGAAGGTTATGCATTTTGTATGTAAAATCTTCAACTGTTTCAGATGACCTTTCTGGAACTGAGTCATGTGTTTGGTTAAAAACAATGTCCCTCTCTTTGGAATTGCTGATAGTTGTGTAATAGCCATCATATTGTTCGTGTTCACAGGTACCTCTGTATTCTGCTTTTTCTTGATTTTTGCAGAACCACTGCCATGAAGTCAGCAGTAATTCCTGCTCAGTAGAAGAAAAGTATATAGTGAGACAATTATGTAATGATTCTGTTAAGTCTTTCTGTACGTTCTAAGCTCTTCAGATGACCAACTGTTACTTCTTGCTGCGATTAGGTCAATTATTTTATATATATATATATATATATATATTTTAAAATGAAATTTTAAAACTGAATTAAAGGAATTTATTACCAAAAAAAATCTACAATAAATTGTAAATATGCCAGTGTAATGATGATGTCAGGGCAGCATTGTGCTATTTAGTTTTACCAACACCAAAACTAATAAAAAATCAACCTGTTTGGCACATTGGCTTATTTTCTGGCTGTAGTTTCATGATGGTTGTCAACTGACAACTGCTTAAAGCATTCAGCAAGATTTGAACAGGAAGGAATAGACCAGATATTTAAATTTCTTCTGTTTTATTCTAAAGTGTTGGTAGAAATACATACAAGGAAGCCTGGTAGGGAATTATTTTTTAAAATACTGCTTAGGAACTAACTCAATTATGCAAATGTACTCAACATGTCTTTGAAGTTAAGTTTTTTCCATTACCCGCATATTCTTACATTTACTATCAAGAAAAGATGTATTTGTTAATTTCTAGAATCTTATTTAAAACCCGTAAAAGAAAGTGTTCCTATTTTTTTTGTTTGCCCACATGGAAAGCTTCTATAAGATTAATATATGGGGGGAGGGGCCTAGGTAGATGTTCAAAGCCACAAGAAATGTTTTTGATCAGGGACAGCCTTGCAGATTATCATTCATATGATTTATGGGGTGGCCGTAGCAACCTGTTCAGTAAAGACACTGTTATCTGTCGCTTGCAACGTGTGTATTAGATCACTGCAGGACCATTCCTTATGTTTCGGGAAGTCTGCCTTCCAGTTTCCATTTAGGATTTCCTCTTGATTTCTGGATGTCTCTGTCATTTATTTGATGTAGTATTTTCTTGGAATAACTCATGAATAAAAATATTTGCTTCTTGCCCAGGAGTTTGGCACTAAAGCTTAGCTTTAGAAGACTAAAGGTTTCTATTCGTTGATTTCTGTTTCTTTTTTTCATTTTACTGCGTAGAAACAAGCTGATAGGCAGTATAGCAAGTAGGGTATGTTTTACAGGAACTCCCTTGCTGCCGTCACTGCACAGTTTTCCATATGAATCTTGCCCCAGATGTGGAATTTGCATGTCAATTTTTTCAGTCTTCTAAGTAAAAGCTTCTGCTCATGCAAATATCATAGAGTGTAACACCAGTTCTTTTCATCTGAAATCTAGGATTAGCTGTACTGCTTATGTCAGACAATAAAAAAAGTCCTAATCACCCTTACGTTGTTTCCTGCTTTTGTTGCATAGGCAGTTTAGGCTTACTAACTTTTTCTTGGGGTTCTGGTTTGTAGCCTCTGAGTGTAGGTGTGAGAAACTAAGCTGTTACTTCAGGGTGTCTCATGGCCCCTCTTACAGAAATTACTGCTCCTGCAGCAGATGTGCCAGAATAGGCAGGCACTGTGTCGGGTCCTCAACTTTTACAGATTGTAGCCTGGCTTTTCAGCACGAGCTGAAGTCTGTGGTTTAAGCAGTTGAACTACGCTCCTGTTACTCAATTTCTGCAGCAAGGTGCTTCGCTGCAGGGGTTAAACAGACGTCTTGGAAACATAACCTGTTCTATCAAACCTAAAAAGTATTAGGTATCAGGGACTAAGAAAATGCATTACCAGGTCTCCAGTTTCAGGATTTCAAACATTGCATTAACTAGGTTCAGCTTGATAACAGTAATGGTGATGGCATCAGGAAAGACTAGAGGATCAGCCTTAACTTTAATGCTAATTAATTTATTTCGTTTTATTATTACGGACAATGCTGTGTTGTGGTGCTCTGGCAGCCCTCATGCCACAGCTTATCTTCCTGCAGTTCATGTGCATGTATTGTCAATCTAAGTTTTTAAGAATTAAATCCATAAACTGGTTTTAAAATCATATTTTAAATGTTGTGACTTTTTTTTTTCCAAGCCTTTGTGTGGTTCATTTATTTATGGTGGTATTATTTTTTCCACATAATAACTGTTAGGGATTTAAATGAAAATAAAGCTATTTTAAAATTTATATGAAAAATGAAATTTCCTGATAGTTGTTTCAGGAACACCATCAGATATTAAGGCTAGAAGTAGAATAGCAGTAAGTGGCAGCAATGTGCCTGATACACCTGAAGAAACAATTTACCCTCATCCTCTCCCTATTTTGTAGGCAATCTGAAATATGTGCATTGGGTGTACTTATAGTATTGGCCCATACACACTTCATTTCTGAGCAGGGATGGAAAGGATTTTTACTCCTTTTTTTTTTTTCTTTTTTTTTTTTTTTGTTGTACGTGCAATTACTCGCATGAATAGGTGTAACTAAAAGCATGATTCAAATGAGTATCTTCAATTATGTCCTATCAGCTCTTCTTGCACTTTTTACCTCTATAGACATTCAGGAATATGACTATCAAATATGATTTCAAATACTAAATGATCTTTCAGTTACCATTTTTCTGCATTTCCTTAATGCATACATAAGGATAAAGAGATGGACCTAACAAGGTAAGCTGTATCTTCTGACCTTTGGGAAGTTATGCCGTAACTGCTGAACACAGAGAAGGGGAAAGAAAATTCAGAACAATGTTGTATCCCAGTTCTGTTTAGACAATATGCCAGTGTAAAAGTTTATTGTTAGTATTCTGATCCCCCTTCATAAGTAAATACTCAAAGTATTTAATTTGATTAAATAAGGCTAGTAATTCTTTTATAAGTAGAAAGTAGTCCAAGCTATTCTTTGTTTACATGTGTTCAGACACTGATTCATCACAGCACATAAATGTGTACTTGTATGTGGCCCGTTTTTATTGAACTCGGTCTGGATTCTTCATTTAAAACAATTTCCGTATGTCCAAGCAGTAACCAAATTTCATTCATTCATTTACCACTACGTAAAAGAAATTTCTCAAAGGAGTAGGGGAAACATCAAACCCATTGGCTGGGGAAGCTTTAACTTGTATATTTGGTTAATAATAATTGATTAAAAATGTCTGTAGAATAGATAAGACTGCAAGTTTGGTTGTATTATCTGAACAAACAGGAAAGTTAGCTTTTTATAATAATCTTATGTAAGCTGAAGCAACGCTTCTCTTAATAGACCAGTTTAGGAATAGAAAGTATTTTAGTGACCTGGAGTAAACTGAAATACACTGTTCTTACATCATGAATGGAGAAGATGAGATGAGCATTTCTGACCACTCAGCTGTGCTGAAAGGGGCTGTTCTGCCAGCTCTGTGGCCCTGCCTCTTGCCATGTATCAGCCCTGCTGCTTTTCTGGCTTTTTGCTGAGCCGGTTTGCCTCATTAGACTAGCATAGGACTAGGTCATCGGGATAGAAGGAACGCTAGTTCTCTTCCCACTTCGTCAGTGGTATCAGCTGGCTCAGCTCATTAAGGGGTCATACAGGTTCTGGAGTCACACTGGTGAAGCAGGAAATAAAATGATCCCCTTCAGCAAGTTAGCTGCCCGATGAGACAAGCTGTGTTAATCTGCCCACACCTTCACCCTGTAAGGAGCAGTAATTGAAGTGGAATTATAATGCTTGCAGTGGATACCTGTACTAATATGTACAATGGATTCTGTCTAGTAACAGGAAAAGGTACTAATGTCTGTAGGAACGTTCGGTGCTGCACGAATGGATATATTTGTCTACAAATTGCTAGAAAGCCCACTCATTCTTCTGCTTTGGTACAATTGTGGTAATTTTCAGTTGTAATTGTATGGTGAAAAGAAAGTCTGTTTGAAAATGGAGCGGTACTGATTGAGTGCCAGGATATACCCTCACAGGTTTTTTCTTGTTTGTTTTCAAAATATGTTTCCAGATTGCTAATGTAATTTCTTAAACTGGAATAATTAATATGCAAGCAACTGTTAAGCAAGGTTAAATATTTGTTTCTGGCTAAAACATTACTTTGTTTGAAATTAAGGACTTCAGTAGTAAAGAAAAAAATGCCCTAGGCGGTTCAAAACTGGTTTTGTGATATCCTTTTTCTTTTTTCCTCTCTTCCTGTTAAGGTCCTCGATGCCTCAACACTCAGCTTTGGTACTCGAGTCAGGTGGTTTGCCATATGCTTTGTTGCTGGCATTGTGTGTTCTATTCTTGTAAGTAAAGTTTGGGGTTTTTTCCCTGTAATTTATTAATGTTCTACTGTAGAACCACATTCATATTCATACTTTATATATGATTCTTTGTTTGCTTTATCCTGTGTCCTCAATTTTGTATCTATGAATTTAACTGGACATTAAATGTAGAATTAGCACATAAGGGTGGTTGTTCTATAAATTAAGATTTTGACCACCTTCCATTCACAGTGCAGAGTATTTTTACTGTAGCATAATCCTATTTCTTACTGAAAGGTTTGAACACTGACAAAATATGATATGTTTTTAATTTAGATTTGTGACTGGTGTACTAGGAAAGAGCTTTTACTATTGTTCATTATGTACCCATCGTATTTTTATTCTCTCCAATAAAAAGAAAAGGAGGAGGAAGCTTGAAAGGTTTTTAAAGGCTGAAGAAACCACCAGTGTAACCTGTCACACTCACAAATCAATAGGTGATGGCTGTGGTAGCCTGTTGACACTTGAAAAACCTGCTGTATTCCTATTGATCTTAGTCAGCAAATCATTTGTTCATTCTTGAATTTGAGGTGTTGTCAGGAGCTCAAGCCTGCACTTTAAAGTTGAGATCTATTAATTGATTTGGTCTATCAAAGTCTGACACAGGTAACTTTCAGTACAAAACACTTCTTCATCTGCATGGGAAGTCCCAAAAGCAAGTGAAGACACAGTGGGGAAGTATCCAGACTGCTGGTTTTGGTGTTTTTGTTTGGTTGTTGGTTTTTTTTTTTTTTTTTTGGTTTGGTTTTTTTTTTCCCCTCCTCCTGTCAGTATGAGGTAGAATGTAGGTTCTCCACAGAGCATGGCTTTTGATATGAGCTAGTTAGTGGCCTTGGGCTAATGTCTGTGGATGACATCTGCAGTTTCTGTGGAGACTGTCAGGCAGATTGTCTTGACTCATAATGCGTTCTGGTAATAGGATGGAGAAATTTGTCCTGTGTGCACTGTTTTCTGGTTTTGCCACTATTTAAATGACAACTACTGCTCTTTCATTCACTATGAAAAGTTTTTAAACCAAGGAGATATATGTAATGACAGGAAGAAGCAGCTGTGGAGCAGCAACCTGTTGACTGAGGCACTCACTTAGGGATAGCCACTCACTGGATTCTCCTGCAGGTGGAAGCTTCTGATGCTTTATCAAAACTTGTGGTTTGCCCTGAGACTCGGGGGTAAACCAGAACAATTGCTGGTTTTACCTACGGTCTTATTTAAGTGGTGATCAGCTTAATAAAGGAACTGGAGAGTGGTATTCCTCATATTGATATCTATGGCAAGTGCAGTGACACGAAATCTGGCTGGATGCTTATGTTAGAGAGGGGGCACGTTCTAGGGAGGGAGCTCAAGACTGGGTTGGAATATCCCTTTTTTAGGTTGCTTAAGCATTATTGGTTGACTCCCTCCCCCCTTCTATTTTTTTCACAAGGAATATTTAACCAATATAATCACAAATTTTAGTACACACCACATTTCTGTTCCAACACCTATTTCTGGACAGGTTAACAGCACTCTTTTTGCTATTTTTTTCATGTTTAATCTTTGTGCCTATTCTGTATCACATGGTGTGAGACTATGAAATAACTGATAAAAAGCTTTATGATCTTGATTTTTCTAAAGTTTCCTTGAATTACTTTGAGCTTGATAAGAGTCAAAACTCTGAATACTGTGTTTGTGGACTTCGTATCTCGGACAGTTTGAAGGCAGCTCCCTAGCTAAGTTTTGCCACATAAAGCTGAGAGCTGGCAACCTCACCTTCTGATTCAGATTATGGACCTTTTGGTACATTTATTGTGTTCTTGGCTGACCAAAATTGTAGGTGGTGGGTTTTTTTAATCTAGTCTTTAGTGTCTATAGGCTTTCCTTGCAGAATACAGTTGTACTCTTTTCTTGCAGCTTTCCATGGTTGCTTGTACTGTGGTCTGTGCAAACTTTGACACCACAGATTCCCACTGAAATTGCAATAGGATGGAATACAGTTGCTTTTTTGCAGGACACGGTGTCCACATAACAGGTTTTTTTTTTTTAAAAAAAAAAAAAGTTAAACAGTGTTCTGCTTGTAGTTTAGGCTCTATTTGTCCCTCATCATCATAGGAACTGTGATCAGTAGAAGGCTTTGGATTTTTTTTGTGCTTAGTGGAAATAAGAGATGTCTGGAAATAAGAGTTTGAAAATATTCCTATCTAGACTGCAAGTCCAGATGGTTGATTGAAGTTGAGAAAGGAGATCGTAGATATTAGGATGGCTTTATGCCATTTTATCTTTTGTGTGTAGAGGTGGATGATGTATATGGGTGCATTGTAACAAAACTGAAAGTGTCATAAATAAAATATAAACCGTATAAATAAATGTTATAAATAATATAAGTAAACATTGCCTAGTTGTAAGAACATTGTGAAATATAGTAAACTAATACATTCTTTTGCCAGTAGGTGGCAATAGAAGTGTGCTAAATAGTGACTACTAGGAATCTGAGAACAGTATATTCTGCTGGTATATATTAGAATGACACTCTTCATAGTCTGAAAATGTAGACAATAAAGTCTAAATAAATTGAATTACCTAATTACAAACATACAAATAACCTGTCTTTTATAGGGAACAGCACTGCTATGGCTCCCAAAGGGAATCAAACTTTTTGCATTGTTTTATACCCTGGGAAATATTGCTGCATTAGCCAGGTATGATTTATTAATTATTGTTATTAAAGTACCCTCCTTCTCATCTACTTTTCCGTTTGCTTTTACTCTAAAATGGTGTCTGTTTGTTGTGTATAAACAACATTGTTTTCATATTGAAATGCTAATAACATAAAATCTTGTTTGTCTTGTAGTTCTAAGATTATCATGATTAGTGAATACCAGCTACTCACTTGTTGTTGTCCCACTGTGATGTCTTATGTGGTTGTTTTGTGGACCCATCACAACTGCTATATGAAATATGAATAATAAATTGCTGGATGAATGTTTTTTACTTTCTACAGCTAAGTCCTCTTCTGGGTACAGAGGTAGCTCAGTTTCAGGGGCAATCTGGTAGTCTTGACAGCTGTGTGGATGCTTTGTTACTGGAAGGAGCTCTTTGCTTTTAACAGAGAAATCATCCTGTTTCTAGGAAAACTCTTTGAAAGAGGAGATGTTCAGGAAATCCTCATTTTGATTGTAAGGCCAGGCAGACTCTAAAAATTGTTCACAGTGTCTTTTTAAAGTCTGTGCTTGGTTCTTTGCAGTGTTCCCCATAGCAGTTTGTCTTAAAAGATTTGCAGAAGGTGCCTCCTAGGATCTAAAACTCTTCTTTTGCTGTTTGAAAGACATGTAAGAAACAACTTTAAAGTATTTTCAGCTTCTGTTTGTCCTCCTTCTGTTATTATCTTAGTGTAGGTGAAGCATGATCATGGGACTCCAAACCCATAGAGTCTGGTCTTGACTTTCATGGCCTCTGTGACTTGACTAGAGTCACTTAATTCTTGAGTCAAAGCATAGTTAATCTGTTAAAACTCAGGCAACATGACATTATCATCTTAGAAATGTGATAGTGTACTGCTTTTTCTCCACAAATTTGTTAGGGGGCAAAAATTGAGTCTCATTGGTATAACTATTCCATCTCATACTAAAACAAGACAAAATGTTAATACTGGAGGTAGGCAAAACTGAGTATTTCCCTTTTTTTTTTTTTCTTTACGTTATTCTTTGTTGGTTTTTTGTTTTCATTTTTGTTTCTACCTAGTATTTTGGGTGTGTTTTCACTGCTTCCAATTAAATTAGCTTTTTAGAAACTTGGTACTAATCAAGTCGAATTGCCAGTGAACCAAGAGAAAAGCTTTTATAGACTGGTATTTCTTTTAGGAGAAAAACTTTAGTCTGGACTCTGACTAAAATTAGAAGTAAAAAGAGGCCTCGTTCCCCTTCAGTAGTCCTGTTAGATATAAACAACAGGCAAGTGTGTTCTAAGAACAGTAGGAAATGACAGTAAAGTCCCAAATTGACAGGGAGATTTTAACTTTTTCAGGCTTGTTTGCAAGTCTGGATTTAAAACAAATGCAGTTACCACTCTTACTAAGTAGTCTTATCTACCCTGTTTTTACTATGATTTTCTAGCCACAAACATGAAAACAATGATACGTAATTGATTCTTCTCTGGGATGACAGGTGTATCTTCTACTGAATATGTTATATATAAGAAATATCCCATGTAAGTGGAGGACCTCTAGATTTTTTTCAAGCCTTTCTGCTCCCAATGGATTCTCTCGCACCACTGGAGGAGAAGCGCTTGTGATGTCTGTCCTTCAGTGCTAATCAGGCTAGCATCAATGCATTTTTATTTCCATGGGGTTTTCTGCCTATTTTTTGTGGCTTGAATTTCCCTCATTTTTACCACCATATTTTCATCATTCTTGTCCTTCCACTAGTTAATCTTTTATTCTAGTTTCTCAGATCTCTTTTTTTTTTTGGTGTTAATTTAATTTTATGGCCCAGCAGCCAAGATCAAAAATTACTGAGAAAAAGTTCTTTGGATTGCAGTGAATTTAAAACATTCTTTTCTTTTGAATGGAGAAAACATTTTTTTCCATTTAATATGGACTTCTGAGGTCTGTCTACACAACTTAAAGAAGAAAACAAAGTAAAGAGAATGGGATATGTACATAAAGTTGCTGGTAGGACAGCATCTGGGTGTGGGAGATCATAGGCTCAGTTTACTGTGTGGGACATGAATTCCCATATTTCTTCCATCTTGGAAGAGGTGTGCTTCACCAGGCTTATGACTGGTTTTAGAAAGGAGCTCTATTCTTCCCTGCTACAGATTTCTTCATTTCATATAAATAAGTATTAACTAGAAAAGGGGTTAAACTAAGTTTCCCGCTCTGTAGTAAAGCATTCAGACCACCACAAGGTTACAGGCATTCTCACTCACTAAATATTTTCTGTAAAGCAGAATGGCTTCAATGACAGGGAAGGAAGAGACTCATCTCAGAATATTTGAAGCCAAATAATTACTACTACGGTTGTGAATTCTTGGTTCACGTCACATTTCTTTGCAAGAACAGGTACAGCATAGCAGTGCTGGTGGTTTTAATTTTCCCTTCAAGTTAACTGCAGATTAGGAGAAATCAGGAGGACTTAATACAAACTACTGCAATTTTCTCATCTTTTTTAGCTTGCTGAGCTTGGGCAAAGAATTAGAGCTTCCCTGTAATGTTGATTGTAGCTACTTGCATGCTGCCTGGATCAGAAGTTTATTGTTAAACAGAAATTTACTACAGAATTGTGGTCCATGTATTCTTTGCGTTATTTTGGCAAGTCAGTTCTCGAAATGGGCTCAACATGATGTTCACTAGCCTTCAACTTGACAATCTTCTGCTGTGAGTGGTAATGTTTTCAAAAGAATTTAAAGACCAAAAGTTACTCAATACATAAGCTGTTTCCAGGACTAAATTCATGAAGTATTTCACCTTTCATTCTGGTGGGTCTCTGTTGCTAAACACAGAAATGCCTTTTTTAAAGCCTTTGTACTCATTTAACTGTTGGAAAACTGGTCCTATTGTCTTTTGCAAAGATTTATTTGAAAGTGATTTACCATTTCTTTTGTTTTTTCTCTCCTATTAGTACGTGTTTCCTGATGGGGCCACTGAAGCAATTGAAAGCAATGTTTGAGCCCAAAAGATTAATAGCTACAGTTGTGATGTTGGTAAATATACTGTCTTTACTTCCTTTTGCCAAAAAGTTTTCCTTTAGCCTCAAATCTAAATCTGAAGTTTTACTAAAAGGAGGTGATTTCTCAGTCCGACTTTTCTCTGTACTGAATAGCAACAGTCAAACTGATTAGCTCTGTATATCATAAAGATTATCTTCACTCCTTTCTATAATCTTGTGGTTTTGTTGCTTATGATTTGTTTTTTTAATTAATCATGTGGATTGAAATGTTCTTTACTAAATACTTCTTGATAAATGCTAATATTAGGTTAATTTGTTTTCTAAAATAGTTTATTCAAGAACCAGGCTAGAGAGAGATTTTTCAGCTACTGTGAACAATCAGTGGTCACCAAATCTAGCTTGACAGCTGTTTGTTTGTTGCAGTTCTGTTTGTATAGCTTAGTGGTTCAGTATTTCCAAAGCAGTGGAGAAAATCAGTTTTTCTCCCTAAAGTATGGGAAGCCACATGCTCAGCTTCACACTTCTCCACTGTGAGGTCCTGGGCTCCTTTACTTTCTTGACCATCATTTGTTCTTCCAGGAGGGTGGAAAAAACAGCCCCAATGCCAGTCTCAAAATTCCTATCCCAGAACTCTGTTAGGTAGTTAAAAACAAGTTTCTGCCCTTGCTGCTTCTGTTTTGTGCTTATTTTCTCTTGTTCCTCCTGATTTGTTTCAACTTTTATTTTTGAAATGCAGTTGGTTGTTGTATTCTCCCTGCCATAGAGAGTTCTTTTCTAGTTGACTACAGCCGATGTCAATAAGAAAAACCTTCAGGGATTCTTTCTGGATGGTTGTGATACGATTTACATACTCTTTCTCACACACCCATATGAAAAAAAAAAAAAAAAAGGTTGTTAAGCTCATGTTTGCCCACATCTTTTGGAGAAATGACTTATTCCTTGCTTGGACTCCAGGCTTTGTTAAAGAGGTGACTTTTTGCCATGTCTTCCAAATCACACCCAGTTACAAGTCCTAGGAAGGTTATGTTTCATAGGTCTGCAGTAAAAATGTCCAAGAATATCTCCAATTCTCTAGAGTTGCTGTTTGCTGAGAATGAATTCTCCAACATGTTACAGCTGTAGGTTTTTTCTGGTCAAGCTGAGAGTCTAAGCAAGATGCTAAAACAGCCAGCACAAGTTTATTTGCTCTGTTATCCTATTATCCACTGTGTTCAGACAAAAGAAAAAAAAAAGTTGCTTTGAAGGCTGTAGAAAGAAGACACATCAGGGAAATGGAAAGAGAAGAGAGAGTAAAAAAAAAATCACAGACCGACCTACCTGATTGTGCAGAAAAGCTACCAATAAGGTTAGGAAAAGACAGAATGAAAGATTAATCTAAAAGGGAACAGGAACATTGGATGAAAGCTAGGACTGTTAGGATGGAAAATTTCAGAGAACTGGTAAACTTCTAAAGTTTAGAAAGTTTTTGATGTATTTGACTGTTTTCTTTTCCATCTTAACACAAAGCTAGAATTGTAGGCAACTCAGGAGTCACAATTATGTTTGGAAAATTTCAAGAGAGTCTGTTATTTTTACTCCTTTCAGTAAAATGCCAACATTTTTTTTTTTCCAGTGAAAATTAATTTAGAGTTTTGTTCTGTTTTCTACTATGTGTAATGACAAATGGAGGGAGCCAGGTAAGATTTGGTGGAAGAGTTGGAAGTGATGCTTGCACAGATGGTGTGTTTAATTTGGCATAGTAAACCATATCATTGTAATGTTCCATCAAAGGTGTCTGAGTAGCTTGAGTAAAGCTTCATGTGAGCTTTTTCACCATGTATGGAGCAGCTGCTCCCTAGTGGACTCTTCATTGCTGTTAGAAGATGGAAAAACACTGGCAGAAGCAGCAGAACCCATGTTTGCCAAATACTGTAATTGTGAATGGGTGTTTTTAATAATGGGTTGTTCGTGGTGATGCACCTCCCTTTCTTGTCAGATGGTGATGTTGTGAATACTAGATCCAAAATTATACTATGTACTGAAATAATAGAACAGATCCCAGACTACTTGGTTGCTTTTGTCTAAGCCCACCTCTTAACAGACCTAACACGTAAAGCTGCACAGATCTGGTTATACTCTTCATGACTTGTGAAGTCAGTTCCTGCCTCCTCTTTCTTCTAAGACTTGTCCCAGACCTTCTGGCCATGGAGTACACCATGGAAAACAGCTTTGGAAAACAGCACTTTACGTGGAGTTCAGCATATAGTCACTGTGTGACAGTCTTTGGCTTTGCTTCTTTCTTGAGTCAATTCTGAAAATGCTGAACACACAGTGAAAACACTAAAACAGTTGTATTTGCTTTGTTGTATATTTGAGGATTAATTCTTTTCTTTTTTTGTCTCCCCTTTCATCTCCCCCCAGCTTTTCCTAGTGTTGACTCTGTGTGCTGTGTTCTGGGTAAGTGAGAATACTTTGTTCCTCTAAAGAGCAGTCTAGCTTTGATAGTTTATTAATTTTATCACGGCTTTAACATGCAGTTCTGTTGTAGAGGGAAGATGAGCTTGTGTGTGTGGTATTTGTGTTTCCAACTGCGATTGAGTTTAGGTGGAGTGATGAGCCTGCTGGCTACAAAGCAAATGCATCCTTCCACTTGCATGTGATGTAGATGAGAGTACAAAATCTAGAGCATCAGGTTCAGTCTGCAGACCTCTGGACTAAGAATTAAGAAAAGCAAGTTAAAATATACTTATATCTTAGTGATGCGTACTTATCTTAGAGGATATCAGAGAATACATAGTGGTCTTTAGAAACGCTGGGTACACAACATTAAAATGATTAAGACAAAGGAAGAGGGGCAGAACAAGTACCCTCAGGCATCTTGATTGAAAAATTGGCTGTAGTTATGGTCCACAGAAGTAAATATGTAGCTGAAGTGAACTTCCATGTCTGCAGAAGTACAGTATCATGAACTAAAGTGAAAGTGATAGCACTGATGCTGCTAAGTGCTTTCAAAACCAGAGAAGGTTTTCATAGCATGATGCTAATGGAATGACAGATAAAGTGAAAGGAGAGTTGTTAGAGTGGAAAGAAGTAGCAAATCAAGACAAGGAAATTGAATTCACCGGTTAATTAAATTTTTGGCTGAACAGGCTGTTGCAATTGTTTGCAGTATAGACGAGTGAAAAATGAACTAATTTGCAATATTTTCTTTGGTTTTACTTAGTGGAACAAAAAAGGTTTGGCGGTGTTATTCTGCATATTGCAGTTCTTGGCAATGACCTGGTAAGTTTCTTAAAATCCATTTTAGCTTCTCCCTGCCCCTACACCCGCATGATTATAAACCTATATATATATATAATATATGCTTCGCATAACGTAAGTGTGCCCAAATGCTAGCCTCAATCTGTTTTTCTAAGCTAGGTTGTGTAACTTCAGCAAAATCTATATGCAATCGTCTTGCAAAAATGGTAATTTTAAGTATACTCTTCAATGTGTGAACTTATTTGAGGCATTATGAAATGAATATATATATGAAAAAAAAATTCATGCCTTTTCTCTGTTGTGAAAGTAACTATATTCATATGCCCTGCTTTTGATTAACTCCCTCTTTTTTGAGGTCTAACTAAATTTTAATTTTTGAAGTGCAAGGAACTAGATACCATTTTCATAGGGTGTGTCCTGCCCCAAGAATACACAGCACCACTGGGTAAAGGGTGGGTGGATGCGAGAGGGTAAGTTTAGTGCAGCAGGAGTGATGATGACCATCCAGATGAACTCAAGGTTTTGGCTTGGGAATGTGCGAGCACAGTTGGTTGAATTGCTTGCAAGCCTGGAAGAAGTTTTGGAAGTTACTGTGCGAGCAGCGGAGGAACATGCTGAGACAAACTCAATGTGAGTGATAAAGCATGGTTCACTTTATTGGTCCAGGGTACGCATATTTATACAGACAACGATAATTATATTATGCCTACTAGTCACTAGCTGATTGGCTTAAGCTCTAAAGGTCGTATTTGCACGGTCCACCTACTTGCGGTTAGCTAGCAGTACAAGTTTCTCATTCCACTACTTCGTTCCTCTTACCTTGTTTACGATACACAAGGCCGAGGCGTCCTCGAAATTCTTCATGTACCAGCAGCTGCGAGCAGCTGCAGGCAAGCCCTAGCGAGGCCCAGCATCAGCCCCTGGAACAGGCTCTGATCGTACAACTGCTCGGTGGGCTCAGGACCCTTGTCTCTGAGCCATGCTCCAACAATTCCCCCTTTTTCTTTTTGTGTTGAGTTAATGCGCCGATGAGCTGGGACGGGCCGTTTAAGATGGTGAGGTCTACCGGTAGCTGGGGATCTCGGCGGTCAACCCATCGTTGTGTAATGTAGTCTGCAATTCGGGACAGGGTTGATTTCTATTCTTCTGATAAGTGTACCGGGTGAGTAGGATCGACCCCCTGGAGTAAGGGTCAGAGGACATCCAAGTCATCATTGGCAATTCCTACCACAGGGCGAAGCCACTGTAGGTCCCCAAGCAACTTCTGTGCGTCATGTAAGGTACGGATATCAAGCTGTATCTGCAATTTCTGTGGTCGTATTTGTGAGTCCATTATCAGCCAACCAAGGTATTACCGCGGCGCCAAAGATTGAACCTTTTCAGGAGCAGTAACAAGGCCTTCCTTTTGAAGAGTGTGAGCCAAAAAGGAACGTTGCTGGTCAGAGAAGGGGCGTTCTTGAGCAATCAGAATGTCATCCATATAATGATATATGATGGCAGTAGGCCAGGCAATTCTGACGGGTAGTAAGGCATTGCCCACAAACAGTTGACAGAGTGTTGGACTGTTCTTCATTCCTTGTGGCAATACTGTCCACTCAAATTGCTGAGCAGGTGCTTCACGATTAATCGACGGTAGGGTGAAGGCAAAGTGTTGTGTATCCTCTGGATGGTAAAGAAGCAGTCTTTCAGATCAACAATGAGTAGATGCCAGTGTTCAGGCAGCATGGATGGATTGGGCAGCCCGGGCTGGAGAGCTCATATGGGCTGCATCTGCGTGTTTACTGTATGCAGATCATGGAGGAGGCGAAATTTCCCTGACTTTTTCCGGGTGACGAATATGGGTGTATTCCACGGGCTAGTGGACAATCTTAAATGTCCTTGAGACAGCTGTTCCTCAATTAGTTGATGCGCTGCTGCAAGGCTTTCCTTTTTCAACAGCCACTGCTCAATCCAAACCAGGGTGTCTGAGAACCACTTCAACGGGATCGGGAAAACTTTAGAAGCAGTGACTGTTGCTAAAAAGGATCACTGGTCATTAGGATGACACCAATCTGGTCCAGCACATCACGACCAATTAGGCCATAAACTCCCTGAGGCAGAGGCATAACTGTTATATGCGTATTCACGACTCTCCCGTCTATGAGCACTCGAATGTGTTCTCTGCTGCGCATCACTGATGAGTGTCCCCCAGCTCCTTCGACCCCACGAGCCATAGGGACCAAAGGCCAATTGGGTGGCCAGTGGTTATTGTCCATAATGGTGAGGTCGGCTCCAGTATCCAGTAATATGCTAAGGCAAATCTGTGCCCCATTCGAGCAGAAGGTAACGTCGGTCACCGGACGGCGATTCATTGCCACAGTTAGCAGAGCCAAGCCTCCTGTGGATCCAAAACCAGCAGCTCCCCTGGTGGCCGCGGAGACAGCTTCCATCTCTTTGGTCAGTTGGGGCAGAGGTATTAATTGAGCAATTTGACTTTTCGCTGGAATATGAATTGGGGGAAACAAAGTCTGTACCATTATGCATATAGTCCCGGTAAAATCAGCATCAATAATTCCTGGCAGAATAAACAGTCCTTTAATGCTGCTTGATGATCGCCCAATTAGTAAAGCGCCTTGTGGTTGTCCATTAATTAGTATTGGGCCCTTAACATCAGTCGCAATCCTTTGTGGCTGTTGATCGATCGGTGTAATATCTATTGCTGTTGCCAGGTCCAAGCCAAGGCTTCCTCTTGTGGCTGGCCGGAGGGCACCCACTGGAACGGATTGTTGTTGGCAGGGGCTGGAACTTGTTGTCGAGGCAGTATCGGGCTGTTGCTTAGCCGTGCAGGGGCCAACGCTGTGGTCACTGCGCGGCGGCCCGTCGCGCTCATTTGGACATTTCCCGATCGCCCACATGCAGCGGTACTATGGCTATTCGTGTTGCACTTCCCACACCAGACTCGTCGAACAGGGCATTCTCATCGTATGTGTCCTTCTTGCCCGCATCGAAAACACTTGTTAAGGCGCCGCGTCGGTGGTCGCTGTTGCTTCTCGGATAGACGTAACGGGGCTAGGGCCGCAAAGGCTTGGTGCTGGGCCTGGATCAGGTCCCTCCCGAACTGCCTCTACCAACATAGCCTGGGGGCCTGCCGGCCCCCTGCTCATACGCTCCAGCATCTGCTCTATCGTAGCATCCCCAGGCAGTGTTAGTATAATAGACTTTGTTGCTTGATTAGTATTTTCTAAAACGCATTGCCTGAGAAGCGCGGGTTTCATCCACTCTTGGACCTCTGCCTGTTCTATAGCTGCGGTTACCTGATCAATGAATTGCGCAAAGGTTTCTTCCTGTCCCTGTTTTATTGCCATATCAGACAGAGATGGGGGTGCTGTTTTAACTGCGGCTATAGCTAGCCTTGCTGTCCACATGGCCTCCAGGCAGACATCTGGGCCTTGCTGCATTTGAGTGTCTATGGTAATATATTGCCCCGCTCCCATAAGCTGTTCTACGGTTACCCCAAATAATGGGTCATCCTGATGTCTGGGCTGTTGAGCTGATATTTCACAGAATCGTTGCCAGTGGGCCTACCATAACAATAACTGAGATTGGGTCATAATCATTTTCATAATAACTTTAATATCTTCCTGATACAAAAGGGTTCCCCCCCATATGTAATTTAATAACTGCTTCGTGGGTTCACCATGTAGCCCAGACTCATTAACAGTACTACGCAACTGCGACAGCATCTTCCAATTCAGTGGACTATGGCTGCCATAAATGGCTCCATCTTCAGCCCATTCGAATCGAACTGGAAATGCTAGATTCTCAGACAGGCTACCAACAACGTCATATTGCTTATCCTCTGCTGCCTGGCGCATGACCTCCCTCCAGTCACCATGGCGTACCCGCCCCTGTATTTCCGTTATACCTGACTGCATTGGGCGGCCATCTTCCCTCTCCCCCTCCGCCTCCGAGGACGGAGGGGATGAGGGGGGGCACTGGGGGGGAACTGGCCTCCGGACTTCCCCTACTTTTGTTAACTGGAACCGGTACTCCTGTTGATGGTACAGGAATACAATCACTGTGAAGGAGCATAAATCTGGATGCCCCAGTTTCTGGGGTAACAGTGGAACTTTCCCCTCCTAACTTTGTTGTTGCCACAGCTGCAAGGTTCTTTTCGAGCTGATACCGCTTAATATTATTCACCACCTCCCGCCACGGTTTCATCAATTTCCTTGCAGCTTTATCCTCATCGATTACCATATCCCATAAAACAACGCCTAATCGTCTCCACTCCTCGACATCAAAAAGAGAATTAGGATTTTGAAAATATCCTTTGACCCGTCCTAACGCTACTGAACCCGCGAGTGATTTTACACAATCTACTCCCCGCTTTTCTAAAAAGCGCTGTAATAAATCCAGGGCTACCTCCTGTTCCATATTGCCGGCCCTGTGCTCCCTGATTAAGGCACAATACCGTTCCCTTACTTTGATATGTCTCTGATGCTCCCTGATTAAGGCACCAGTTGCAGCTTTTGCCAGTAGCCCTCGCAGACGGAGAACCCCTATGTTCAGTTCAAGTCCTCGGAACGACACGTCAGAGATCCAATGTTCGATTGTTCTTGACCCCCCGGGCGCTGCTGTATCCGGCCCTTCTCTGCGTCCGCTGCTCCGTCCTTTTTATTGTCCTTCTATTCCGGTCCCTGTTCGGGCACCATTTTCCGAGCAGCGGAGGAACATGCTGAGACAAACTCAATGTGAGTGATAAAGCATGGTTCACTTTATTGGTCCAGGGTACGCATATTTATACAGACAACGATAATTATATTATGCCTACCAGTCACTAGCTGATTGGCTTAAGCTCTAAAGGTCGTATTTGCACGGTCCACCTACTTGCGGTTAGCTAGCGGTACAAGTTTCTCATTCCACTACTTCGTTCCTTTTACCTTGTTTACGATACACAAGGCCGAAGCGTCCTCGAAATTCTTCATGTATCAGCAGCTGCGAGCAGCTGCAGGCAAGCCCTAGTGAGGCCCAGCATCAGCCCCTGGAACAGGCTCTGATCGTACAACTGCTCGGTGGGCTCAGGACCCTTGTCTCTGAGCCATGCTCCAACATTACTGCTTTCTCCATGGAGATGCAACTGAACATACTTGGTCTCCTTGCCCCAGGTGAATTACTTGGTACTAACTCGAGCTGATCCAAGCTGACCACAGTTCTTGTTTGAACTTGCCCTGAACACACAAAGTCTATACTGAACTTGGACCTGAGGACAAATAACCATTTGTTCAGGATAGGGACTGTTGGGCATCACGCTGGGCCCAGGTAAATGCTTGGTACTAGGTAGAGGGAACATTGCCAACTCAAACTATGTTCTGCAGGTTTACAGCAGACCTCTTTATATTTGTTAAGTGTCCCCGATCTTGATCAGGCTGGACACGAGAACAAAACATAGCCTGGAGGCTTGCAAGAAGCACGTTTCGGAGCATCAGCTGTTTGAGTGTCACAGTTGTGGCATATTATTCATACCACAGCATATATCTGTATTTAGAGTTACATAAATAATATGATTAGATGTATATTTTCATAGTAATGCATCTTGTCTTTTAAAGTGGAAAAAATCTCATCTGGAAGAATACAGTTTTCCCAGAAATCTCCATTCCTTTTGAAATGGTTGGTAGTAAATCTGCTTTTTTAAATTTTATGTGCAACAGAAGTTACAAACTATGTGGGGGGAAAAAAAAAAAAAGAAACGGTAAACTAGGAAATCCTTGGTAGTATGTTTAGTTCTTTTCCAAGCATATCTTCTTTTTTCAGGTAAGCATTAAATTGAGTTGGTAATCTTATTTAAAGTTTTGTTACAACAGGTTGCTTGTATTAATGCTGGACTAAAGTGAAATAATTGGGTCCTGGGAGAGACATGAACACTGTCAAATACACTTTTTTTTTTTTTCTCCTCTTTTTTCAGGTATAGTCTCTCATATATTCCTTTTGCAAGGTGAGTCTGCATAATTACTCCCATCTTAACAGAAGTCAGTTATCTTTGTGCTGCAGGGATGGAAAAAGTCTTGAAATTGATTATGTGAAAAAACATAACCTCCTCCCTTTCCTCTTAATTTTTAGAAAACAACATAGCTGAACTCAAAGTAATGCTTAATATAAGCTTTAAATACAAGTAAAGTACATAGTAAATATCTTTGTTAAATTTCATTCTAGTTTTCTGAAAATAAATTGAGTTTTTGTTTAAATTCTCCAGAGATTTAAAAATCCATTGATGCAATAGTGACTTTTCCAGTGCTTACATTAAAGGTAACTTGTGGATCTGAGGTTTTAGTAAAAGCAGAGCAAGCAAGCGTAGTTTCAGGTGCTGCATCTACTTCTGAATTCCTCCATTGTTTTTAGGAGAGGCAAAGGCAATGCTTCATGTTAATTTTCATTTTGGCAAGCTGTTTTTACACAACTCCGTGTGTACAAAAAGGGAACAAAAGCTAGCCAAACACATAGGGAAACCACATCCAAGTAAACAAACTGGAGAGTCTGGTTTTTTTCTATAGCAATTCACATAAAATACAGTTTGGTCTCTAAGCAGTGTGTTCTTTGGAAAAATAAAGTGCTTCCATGCCTGTATATTACTTAATGAGGTTTTCTGCACTGCAAATAGAGAAAAAAAGAATACAAACTACTGTCTGTCCCTTTCATCTGATATCTTCCAGTAGTGTTTCTATAACTTTGCCGAAAACTCTGTACTGTGGTTTCGTTTGGGTTTGTTTGGTTTGGTTTTTAATGCTTCGGAGTTGATCTAGGAAAGATTAAGCTTTTTTTTTTTTTTTTTGAATTTTAGTTGACAATTGATTAAATACTTTCACTGAACTCAGACTTCAGATTGTCACCTTACTATTTCTGACATCTCGGGCTAATCCAGTCAAAGTGTTATTCTGAATTCTTGTAGTTCTTGTGGCCATGTGACTCTCTCAGTAGGGACATTGCTTTTTTTTTAAATGTTCTGTTCTGCACAAAAACAAGCTCAGCTACTAGCCACTGGTCTTTTCTTCCCTACCAACAGTACTTTAAGTGCTGGTTAGAAAAACAATAGGTTATATGCATCACTTAATTTCTTTATTTTTATTTGTCTGTTAGATTTTATGAGCCAAAGACCTGAATTTTACACAGGCAGCTTTTAGTTGTACTGTGATTTCTTTAGGGATTAATGAGTTACTTGCTTATGTGGAATGCTACCATAGATTTCTTGTATAGGCTGCCTTTCTTACAGAAATCAGGATCTAAATCATGTGCAGTGCCAGAAAACCATATTATGTAATTTGTTTAAAGTATGCTTTTATCTTGATTTCAACAAAATACTCATTACTTGATTTAACTCTGTTAATGATTTAATAACGACCTGCTTGTGGTTTTGGGGTTTGGGTTTTTTTGGTGGTGGTGGTGGTTTGTGTTTTTGTTTGTTTTGGTTTTTTTTTTTTTCAGTTAATGGTTACTCTCCTGCTGGCATGGCAAAAAGAAAACAAAAGACCCTAAAAAAAAAAAAAAAAAACAAAAAAACACAAAAAAAAACCCCTATAGAAACAACAACAAAACCCATACATACAGTGGCTTTAAGAAGTCATGATAATATTTTTCTTCATTTTTTAAATTGACTAACAACAGAATACAAATTACACTCCCTAATAAGTTACGTTTTTGAGAAAATTAACCATAGAGTGATCTCAGTAGAACAGTCAGAGAACTGTTTATTGTCGGTTAAAGACACAGACCCCTTCAAATCTTTCAAACCTTGATGTTGAGCCACCTCTCCATCCTGCGCTGTCAGTAAACCCTTCAGCCTGGACTGTTGGTTTTTTTTTTTTTTTTTTTCTTGAAATGTGATGGTGTAACTCCAGGGTGGCAGGGACTGAAAGCAGCCGCCTGGCTTTGGCACGTTCCTCAGCCCGGCCCTGGCTGGCCAGCCGTTGCAAAATAAAGCTTTGACCTTTGCTAAGCCACCAAGTGTGCTGCAGAACAGTTTTTAACACCCTGTCTGTATTTTAGCTGTGTTTGAATGTTTTTTGTTTGATCTGTGAGTATGGAAGACTTGGGCAATAAGGACAGGCCGGAGATTCAGAGTGGGCTCGAGCCTTTGCTTTAGCTGGTGCTGTAGATGTGCTGAACGTAATGACAGCTGTTACAGTCCTGCATTTGATAAGCTACTGATTTTTGTCTTTATTTAAAATCTTGAATTTTAAATATGTAATGGTTGATACATATATAATGAAAATAACAAATAACTGACTTTTTTTTTTCCTCTTTTTAAAGGGATGCTGTGATTAAATGCTTCTCATCCTGTCTAGGGTAAATTAAAACCAGGAACCACTCTACACTATAAAAGCCAACTTTTATTCTGCTGTGAATTCTGCTTGGAAAATTATACTTTTCCACTCATGAAATACCCAGAAACAATTTAGTATTTTCCTTGCCTTTTGCATTTGGGGGATTAAACAATTTTTACTAGAAACAGTTTTAAAAATAAATTGGGTGAACTATTTGTGGTTACCCTGGAACTTTGAGGCTTTTTTTAACAAAAAAGTACATTTAAATACTTTGCGCAGAGTAGTCTTAAAACTACCTTGCATCCAGTAACAGTTTATTCCCCAGTGGAGGCAAGCCACTATGATCTGGGCAGTATGCATAAAGATTTAATTTACAGTTCTGTCTAAAATTTGCAATGTGCCATTTCTGTTTGTATATTTTTCATTGTATGCTTTTCCAAAGACAGAGTTTTATAAACGTGGTAAAGATTTGGTAAGTTATAATTAACTGCTCTTTGAAATGTCTATACATGTGCCTTATGGAAAAAGCTTAATGAGAATATGTGAAAGGTCTGTTTAAAGCCTGTTGGATTTTATTAAAAAGCTGTATTTTAAACGATTTTTTTTTTTTTTACTTTCATACTTAATTACTTTTTACTAAAAGAACTTATGGCTATTGTATAAATGAGATTTGTGGAATAAATTCGTTTTAAAGGTGCCTATAATATTTCTGATTTAGGAATTGGCTGTAGAGGGATGAAAATTTCAGCATTTAAAAAAAAGTGGGATATGTATATGACTATACCAAATTCTGGTTGTTGGATTGGCAGAAGTGCCTTTAAAGCTTCTTTGTGTTGGTATTTAGACAAACTGTTCATTCTGACTCAAACTGGTATCAAATCGAAGTGAAATACTTAATACTTTGCCTAGCTTCAATAAGACGTTCTCATTTCTAGTTTTTTACAACTAAGAGCTAGTCAGCTCTTCAGGAGCAGTTAAATCCTTGATGTTTGATGACTGATATATTACAGGAGGTTCTTTTTAGCACAGGATGGGTGTGCTGGATTACCTGTCTTCTAAACCCCAGTTGTTTTGGGTTATTTTTTTTCTGCTAATCCACAAATAGAAGAATGCGAGCTGCAGTGTCAGGAAGGGGGAACCCCCCTGTCTTGTAGTATTCAGGGCTCAGGCTAAAGAGACGAATGGCAGTACGTTCCTGTTAAATCTCAGCGTATGTTGCGCAAAACAGCAGCGTCTTCCGGGGAGGCCGTGTAAAGGATAATTGCATGATTTTGCAGCTAAACTGTCGACCAAGCCTCACCTTTTCACTGCTTAGTAACAGTAAATTGCCAGCGAGGCATCCTTCCTGGGGGCGACAGGGGAGCGGGCGGTCCCCACCCTGCAGTGGGCTCGGGGCTGGGCGGTTCTGCGTGGTGTGGGGACGGCCCCTCCAGCGCCGCCCATCACGAGTGAAGCTGTAGTTCCTGTTAGTTTTCAGTTTGCATTGAAGATGCGCTAGTATGTATGTGCCTAGGTAGTGATGGATGTCATCCTGGAAATGGCTGTCACTGCCCCTTCCCCTGTCGCTGCTGCTACTGACCGTAACTGGCCCTGGGGAGATCCCATCCCGCTGCTCGGCACTTCAGGACTGGGCAGCTGCTTGCTCCAGGGTTGGTTTTGCCCCCCGACCACCAGTTCTGCTACACAGTCACCTTCACTGTAATCTTTAATTAGAATGGTATTAGTTATTCAGATTTCTTTTTTAATTTATGCACTATTGTAAAAAACAAAGTTAACGCTGAGTATTAGATCACAATACCGAGAACTGAGGTCTGAAAGTTCCATGTCCTGGTATGCTTTTATACATACTTAGGTCTCTTACATCATGTGCTTTCTTACTTGTTTTTCTCTCCTGAACATTTAAGGATTCGTTTACTTCATCTGCATACAGAGCGCACACACTGTGTTGTTTCATCAGGATCTTCAGCTCCTTCGCATCCTATCTTTGTTAGCCGTGTAGGAATATTCCAAAAGTTGGCAGTTTGATGCATCCTCATTGTATGGTTACCTCTTGTGACTGTGTGAAACCACAGAGACAGACATCCCTGTGGATTGCATACATCCAACCCATCTTTTTGATAAAATTCTGGTACGCTAATTAAGATATTACTTAGAAGTAAAATCTGTCGAAAATATATGCCATGACGGTTTAGACTAAATTTTGGAGTGATAGTTATCTTGGACTCACAGGGAATAGGCCGGGCTGGGCGAGCCGAGGACCCAGCCAAGGAAGAAGAACGCAGCCAACTCAGTATGAGTGATAAAGCGTGCTTCAATTTATTGATTTTCATTACAGCCTTTTATAATCCTTCTGCTTAATTATGCCTACTAGTCAATCATTGATTGGATAAAATACAAGCAAGCCATGCCAGGGCTTGTTGACCCAAGCCCTGGGAAAGACCCGAATAAGTTAGTTTAGGAGAAACAAAGAATGCTCATTTCTCCATCCTCCACTGATTAAAGAACAAGGAATGCTTCCCAACCTTGACGAGATAGAGAATGTTTCATCTCAGAACCTTAGTCAGTACTTTCCCATGGGATTCACTCTTGCTGTTGTTCACTCTTGCTGACTGAGGCCTACTCATGCTAACTTAAAAGAGACTCTCGTCGCAAAGAGGATCTCTAGATCCATGTCCCTTTTCCCTTAGCCATTCTCCAACAGGAATAGATGCTTGCTTACGGTGACTACGTGCAACCTCTCCACACCTCTGTTATTGTTTAGGGTACTTTTGAGACTGTATTACTGCCTTCTCAAAAAGCAAGCAAACAAACAAACAAACAAAAAAACAAAACCAAACCACCACCCAAACACCAGAAGTGCATAGCAATGTGCTTTGCCTCAGTGACAGAAGAAAGGGAGGGCAGGTGCAAGGAGCTCCATTCCCGAGCCACCGGCTCTGGTCCTCGCAGGGGTTTGTGCGTTTTGGAATTCGGTCTGCTCCCGCTTTTGGGGCGCCTGCCCGCAGCCACGGCAATTCGGAGCGGTCCAGGAGCTCCGAGCGCCATTGTTTCGGGGAGGGCGTGAGGGCGCTGCTTTACCGCGGCGGCCGGAGCCCGCCCGTCCACGCTCGGACGCTTGCGGACCGTGGGAGGAAGGGAGCGGCAGCGGCGGCGGGGCGGCCGCCCGGGAAGGGGGGCTGGGCCCCCCCCGCCGGGGAAGGCCGTTCCCGGGGCGGGCGAGGGGCGGGCAGGAGGGCCGGGCTATCGCGGGGGAAAAGCAGCGGCGGTCGGCGCAGACGGAGCCCACGCCCCGCGCTGCCGCCGCCGCCGCCGCCGCCGGCCGGGGACGCCTCGTCCGCCTCCCGCCATGGGGCTGCAGCCCCGGCGCGCCGCGGGGCCCTGTCCGCCCGCGGGGAGATGCAGCGCGGCCGCCTGGGCCCGCGGCGAGGAGCCGGAGGGGGCTCCCGGCCGCACCGCCTCCCTGCCGCCCGTCCTGCCGCCCCCCGCCGCCGCCTCGCCCGTCGCAGCCCGGGCGCAGCCCAAGAAGCCGCCGGCGGCGGCGGCGGCGGCCCCCAAGAAGGCAGCGGCGCGGCCCGCGGAGGAGAAGGCGGCGAGGAAGGCGCGGGGGGCGCCGGCGGAGCGGGCGGGCCCCCTCTCCAGCTCCTGGCCTTGCTCCTCCCTGCAGCGGCAGCCGCCGCGGAGGCCGCCGGCCGAGCGGGGGGCGCGGCCCCAGCCCGTCCCGCCGCAGCCGCGGGGGCGGCCGGGGGCGGCGGGGGCGGGCAGCCGGTCCTGCGAGAGCCTCGGCGGGGCGGCGGGGGAGGCGGCGCTGCGCTTCTCGCTGAGCCTGCCCCCGGAGGCCATCCGGGTGCTGCAGCGGCGCAGCCTGGAGCGGCAGCGGGGGCAGCCCGCCCCCTCCCCCGGCGGCAGAGCGGCCGCGGCCACGGCCACGGCCACGGCCACGGCCCCGGCGCGCCGCGGCGCCCGGGCGGGCGGCGGCGACTTGCGCGCCCTGCTGAAGATCTCGCTGCTCAACGACAGGCACCGCTACGACGACGAGGAGTACGAGGAGGAGGAGGAGGCGGCGGCGGCGGGGGCCGCGGTGGACGAAGGGCTGGTGCGGAAATGCACCGAGTGGCTGCGCGGCGTGGAGAGCGCGGCCGGCCGCGACCGCCCCGACAGGCTGGAGACGCTGCCGCACCTCGGCACCCTCTGAGCCCCGGCGGGGGAGCGGGGGCGGCCCGGCGGGGCCCCCGGCTGCCGTCGGAAGCCGTCGTGTCCTTTGCGGTGCCGGCCGCGCCGGGGGAGGCCCGGCGGCCGAGGGCAGGGGGTGGGCGCCGGGGCGCAGCTCCCGGGGCCGCCGCGGGGGCGCGGGACAAAGGGGCGGCGGTGCCCGGGCGCGGGAGGAGCCGGCTGCGGGCGCCCTGCCTCGCCCCCCCCCCCCCATCTATTGTTTTCGGGGTTTTGTTGTTTTGGTTTTTTTTTTAAAAAAATACTTCTGACTACTTTATAAGACGTGCGTAATGATTTTGTATATTTGTACATAAAAGTCCGTTTTTATTTATTTGAATAAACGACTTTCGTGTCGCAGTAGCCTTGGCGCTTCGGTAGCTTCGCGTTTGGGCAGTCCCTCGCCGGGCCGGGGCTTCCCGGCGGGCGGGGGGGCGGCCCTTGGCCGCCCGGCCCCGGGGGCAGCGCCGCGCCGTGGCGGGGGGGGCAGCGGGAGCGGCGGCTGGGGGCTCCCCCCCCCCCACGTCCACGCCGGGTGCTCGCGTTGGGGGGGTGGGGGCGGCCCTCCCGCGGAGAGCCCCACGCGACGGGAGGGAGGATGGGGGCGGCCGCGGCGTGGGCAGGGGCTGCTCGCCGCGCCGGTGGACGAGGCGGGGGGGGGGGGGGGGGGGCGGCGTGAGTTCACCCCCCACGCCCGGCAGCAGCTCGGCAGCATCCGAGCTGCCGGCAGGGCAGGGCGGGGGGGGGGGGGGCGGCGCGACAGCATCCTTTGTCAGCGGCCCCCGCGTCGGGGGCGGGGGGGGCAGCGAGTACGCGGGGACAGGGAAAGGGAAAGCGCCGCGGGTTACAGTTGTTGTCTCGGCCGCTTACTGCCGAGCTCGTACTGGCGTTACCCAGCTTCTCAGAACGAATGTAACACCTAGCTATTTACTATGGGATGGTAAACGTTTTGCAAAGGAACGTCTGAGCGTGTAGGAACATGTTAAGTTCAGTTTACGCGGCGGAGTAGAACACAGTTTATTGCCCCGAATTGGGAATTACACGTTTCATGTAGATGTCAGTTGTTTACACCAAATGATGTCTGTGTTGACTGTTCCATTAAATCATGGGAGGTAGAGCTTTCTGTAGATTAGTTGCGTAATGTAGGGTTGTGCTACTTTTTGTACAATATTCCCTTTTGCTCCATGTTTGTTCAAACACATTTTCACATTTTTCCGTTTTTTTTTTCCCCCTGAAACTTCAGGATTGACAAGAGAGATGCTTTGATTAAAAAATTATTTATTGAATGTGTTGATTCAGCTATTGAAAAAATAATGAACCAATATAATACAAGTGTGAAATAGCTATGCTCAAAGGCCAGAGAAAAAAGCAGGTGGCATGAGAATGTATGGAGAGTAATTCTATTTATTTTAAGCAAGTGCAGAGAGTCTTTTGTAGTGGTAGCTGTGAAACACATGCATCTTCCTATCATTTTAAGTGAGTTTGCATGTAGTTCTGTATTTGTCAATTTTCAGCAACATCTTCAAGCAAATCTGCATTAACAATTGCAAATTTCCTGACAAAATTAATTTAAGATAGATTAATATCAGACCCACCTTTTTTTTTTTTTTTTTTTTTTTTTTTTTCCCCACCTCTCCTAACAATGAGGAAAACAGTAATAGTTGAGCTGTAGCTGAGTTTTCCTCTCGTGTCTCTTGTGGGAATTTGACGTTATAAAGGAGCATCCTGGACTCTTACAAATGTTGTTCCTTAAAACTGCTCCATGCTTTTGTATCGACTATGACCAGTATCTCCAATTGCAACAAAAAGTGATTCACTCATTAAGAGCTGAAGTATGGTAAAGCTTACTTGTGAGGCTGAAAGCTGCTTTGTTCAGAGTCTGAAGTGCAGCAGGAAATTCAATAAATTTGAATGCACAACAGAAGCAAATACAGCATGACTTGGGGCGAGGGGGATTGAAGGGGACTGCCAAGTTTGACAAAGGAGGAACCTGCTCAAAAAACACTAGCAAGAAGAATTTGAGAACTTGGAAACTGCCTGGATAGATTTTTTTTTTTTCCCCCGAAGTATTAATTTGAACAAAGCTCCACAGAAATCATTCAGCTAAAATCTTTTGTGTTGGGTAAGTCATCGTACATGGTAATTGGAAGTGGGCCTGAGATGGGCTTATTTTGAGATGAGGATATGCAGTTCTGATTTTGGGCTGGATGCTAAGAGCTACTGGGCTCCCTGGAGTCATATAACCAATGTCTGCTTGGAACAGTACCTCCTTCACATCAAGTTTTATTGTTTTCAGTATTTGCTACCTTTCTGCTCTCTTTTAACAATAAACGATGCCCCTAGTGTTCTGAATACTTTCATCTGAAATGCCCATAAATCTTGCAAGTGATACTAGAATAGACAGGAAATTACTTCCTACATACTAACAGTAACTATTGTTAATTTTGCACATAGCTTACCTCCCAGTATTTTCCCTGTTAAAAAGCAAATAGTTGGGTCCTAGTATCCAAAAATTGTAGGTAAATTTAAAATATTTACTTCATTAATATGTGGTATAATGGACATCTGAGCCCAATGGCAGGCTTCAAAATACAAAAATACTTGTGGAGGTTCTGACAGTGGTGAAAACCCCCAAGTCATTGCATTTGTCTTTGTGCAGCATCACTACTGCTATCCATTATTTAACTACATGCCAATAGGCATCATACCACAAACTGATAGTCATTGTTCCTTTTCTTGCTGAAAGAGTGAGAGTGCTCTGAAGGGCCAAGAACTGAAACTTCCCACCGCTGCACCCCCATCCCACCGCTGCACCCCCATCCCACCTCTGCACCCCCATCCCACCTCTGCACCCCCATCCCATCACTGCACCCCCATCCCACCTCTGCACCCCCATCCCACCGCTCCCAGGTCAACCTGGGCCTTCCTCCACCTGAGCCACGGGTTCAGGACAGGGTGCCATTGGCATGACTGGAAAATGCAAGCGGGACGCTGTGTAAAAGCATCTGTCCTGTGCCTCGGCTCTGCCTGGGCTCGGGGAAGGCAAGGGGGGGGGACTTCCCTGGGGGGGGGGCTAGAGTCACTGCCAGCTCCCCCCGATTCTCAGCCTGTGGAGCTGCCCGTGTGTCCCAGTGTAAGTCTGTACTGGTGAAGAGGTTAGATGTGTTCAGGAATACTTTTCAGGTGACATAAATCTGCTTTTGCCATAAGAGCCAACAAACAGCCTGGAAGTCACTACATTTGATTTTCACAGTATATTAGCCATCTTCAAAGTGACTCAGCCTAAGCCTCCCACTCATAACCCTTTTAGCTGCTGAAAGAGAGTTATGAGCAGCTGGTGCCATGGATGCTTAAAATAATCAATACTTGCTTCAGGGTAGATAGCTTCCCTTCTTCCTCCAAACACATCAGTATGATTTATGGTGGAAAAAGAAAAAAAAACAAAACAAAACAAAACAAAACAAAACATATTCTGGGTCTCTCTCTCTCTCTTTTTTTTTTTTTTTTTTTTTTTTTTTTTTTTAAGGTAGCTAATAAATGGTGTCGGCCTCACTGCTGTTTCTGACAAGCCTGGAGAAGCCAGACCGCAGTGAAGCCCCCGTCTCTCTAACCGAACAGCCCCAGCCCTGAGCATCGCTGCGTTTGCTCTCAGGTTCCAGCCCGAGTCTCCGGTTCCCCACCCCAGCGGCACCGCCAGCACCTTCCCCGCTCCCCGGGCTGAGGGGAGAGCATCCTCCCGCCCAGCCTGTGCGCCCTCCCGTGCCCTTCCTCACCAGAACCCTGGGCGATCCCAGACGGGGGGTACTCCCCACGGGCTGCCCCCCGCAGCCGCGCCTGATGGAGCCCTTTCGGGGGGGGCGGCGGCTCCCCCTCTCCTGGAAGGAAGGGGCGGCGGGGTAACATCTTTCTGGAGCAGAAAATCTCCTTCTAGCTGGGCGGGTGTGTCTCCGCTTTTGTGGGTTGTGTTTGTGAGGTACTGCAAGGCACGTTCTGTTTCCTCTCTTAAGCAAAGCCTCCCCTAAGTGGTGGTTTTGTAAAGCGAGGAAGAGCTTTTGAGAAGCTTTGGCTTTGATACTTCCTGAAAGAGAAATCGCCGTTTTGCAACGACCAGTTACAGCAACGGGCGAGCTCCCAGCACCCAGCACCCAGCACCCAGCACCCAGCTCCCAGCACCCAGCTCCCAGCACCCAGCACCCAGCTCCCCATCACCCAGCTGCCAGCACCCAGCACCCATCACCCAGCTCCCATCACCCATCACTCAGCACCCAGCTCCCAGCACCCAGCACCCAGCTCCCAGCACCCAGCACCCAGCTCCCAGCTCCCAGCTCCCATCACCCAGCTCCCATCACCCAGCTCCCATCACCCATCACCCATCACCCAGCACCCAGCTCCCAGCACCCAGCTCCCCATCACCCAGCACCCAGCTCCCAGCACCCAGCACCAAGCTCCCATCACCCAGCTCCCAGCACCCATCACCCAGCTCCCAGCTCCCAGCTCCCAGCACCCAGCACCCAGCTCCCAGCTCCCATCACCCAGCTCCCATCACCCATCACCCAGCTCCCATCACCCATCACCCAGCTCCCATCACCCAGCTCCCAGCACCCAGCACCCAGCTCCCATCACCCAGCTCCCAGCTCCCAGCTCCCAGCACCCAGCACCCAGCTCCCATCACCCAGCTCCCATCACCCAGCACCCATCACCCAGCACCCATCACCCAGCACCCATCACCCAGCTCCCATCACCCATCACCCAGCTCCCAGCACCCAGCTCCCATCACCCAGCACCCATCACCCAGCTCCCATCACCCATCACCCAGCTCCCAGCACCCAGCACCCAGCTCCCATCACCCAGCACCCAGCTCCCCATCACCCAGCACCCAGCTCCCAGCACCCAGCACCAAGCTCCCATCACCCAGCTCCCAGCACCCAGCACCAAGCTCCCAGCACCCAGCACCCAGCACCCAGCACCCAGCTCCCAGCACCCAGCACCAAGCTCCCATCACCCAGCTCCCAGCACCCATCACCCAGCACCCAGCTCCCATCACCCAGCACCCAGCTCCCATCACCCATCACCCATCACCCAGCTCCCAGCACCCAGCTCCCATCACCCATCACCCATCACCCAGCACCCAGCTCCCAGCTCCCATCACCCAGCACCCAGCTCCCAGCTCCCAGCACCCAGCACCCATCACCCAGCTCCCATCACCCAGCTCCCATCACCCAGCACCCAGCTCCCATCACCCACCACCCATCACCCATCACCCAGCTCCCATCACCCAGCTCCCATCACCCAGCACCCAGCTCCCATCACCCACCACCCATCACCCATCACCCAGCTCCCAGCACCCATCACCCAGCACCCAGCACCCAGCACCCAGCTCCC